AAAAGTATTAAAAACAAAGAAAATGTATGCATTACACTCATAATCATCAAATCAATATCAGTGGATTTTATCCTCTATCCTGGGAAAAAATAAAAAACAAAAATAAAGTAAATAAATAAACAAAAAAAAACAAATCAAAAATAAAAACAAACAAACACTATTGGACACACAAGAACTCAGCAGATTCAGTCAAAACACAGACAAAAACGAGCTGAGTCTCAAATTAGAAGCTAATTTCACTTTTATTACTCTATACTTTTATTCTAATGCTAATTGTTTACACTTCACTTATTTCACTGTATTATTTTCACTTTTCAATCTTAGACTGTGTACTTTACTTTTACTACAGTATTCACTATAGTTTAAAACTATTCTAATCTATTTACAAATATGTTTGCATATTTGCTTCTATTGAGCCATATTCTTAAACATACATTTTAATCTAATAAATCTCTCTGTGGTTTTATACTCTCATTATTAGTGGCTTATTATCAGTGGGATTTTGTTCTATCTCTATTCTCATTCTCAGGAATAAAACTGTGAACACAGTAAGGCAAATGGTTAATATGAACATTATTATGGCGGTCAGTTTTCCAAATACATTTGTTGAACCAGGAAGTGCTGTCACTTCCTCCTCTCAGGCAGATTGGGATGAATGTAAATCATTAATCAAATTGGTATTATCCTTACAAGAGCTAATCTATTTGAGCAGGTTTGGGGTTGGGGTCAGTTATTCTACAATGGTGTTTGTGCTGGAAACTTCTCAATATCTAAATATCTACTATTGTGTTTTTGTGCTACACCCAAATGCATCAAAATGCTTTTAAATGCTTTTGAATCTCTGTTGGTTCTAATCTATCTCATTGATCTAGGCATTAATCTAGATTACACTCATATGAGCTTTTTGTATTGTCAACATTCACTCATGTTTGAACACAAGTGAATTTGGAAGGTATCTAATAAAACTGTACATAAAACTGTAAGTAACTTTATCTACTTTTGAAGTAAAGGTTGTGAAATGGTCCCTTTACCATTTGATATTAGCACTGGCTAAGAATATTCTCTATTTTTGAAAGCATCTATGGTTGATGCATTTATCTAATCCTATTTTTACACTATTGTGACTCCAAAGCTCGTTTGCAGCTTGAGCAAAGGCATATTCCTAATTTGTGACTTCTGTCACTTTTAATGGCTGTAACATAACTCTGATTCTAATATTATAGCTGATCTATCAAAAGGATAACATTGTATGGTACTATTTTAACTCTTATGTGGAAATGTGTTTATGAACAACAAAGGAAGGACAATTCTACTTTTTTACTACTATTTAACATCTACTAAAACGCTAAAATACTCATACTTTATCATTTTCAAACATTTTGACAGTTGCTCAGTCTCCCAGACTAAAAAAGTCAAAGTTTTTGTCTGTCAGATGTCTGAATACTTAACATGTATATTGCATTTGTCACAGGTTCTGGTTGTAGCAATAGCATCGGCAATAGACGTTTTCATTGGCTGGTTCTTGTTCTGCAAATGGCTGTGTCCAATAGATCATCAGATGTCCAGAAGCTAGGGACAAACAAAAACAAAAGAAGGAATCATGAGTATCTCTCTCATTTAGCACTCATCAATGTATGATTTCAATAATATAAACATCACTCCCCAGTTTTTCTCTCTCAGGTCCTCAGATCCTCAGGTCCTCAGGGTCCCCTGAGGGTGAGTCTCAGTCGTCATCAGGTCAGGTCATATAGAGATGTCATCTTGGACATCAGTAGGGTCCAAGCCATGGTTTTGGTCTCTCCAGATGCACATCAGGATCTCCAGATACAGTCTTTTCACTTGAAGCACATCAGGTCATTTGCGATGCACTTCTGGTCAATGGTGCAGTGTCACAGTTCCTGTACACAGCTTGTTATGCAATAGTTACTCTCTATGGTTAACACTGTAAAGACAATTTCTATTCATGCTGTTGCTAATGTCCCTCAGACAAAAGCAAGCGCAATGATTCAGTTTACTTCTCTAATTTGTGTTTTTATCAGATCTAATTCTAATCAATGTAATTACTTCACACAGTACAAAATCAACAAATCAAAAGTGTCAGGACAGACGTCAATTATGTCCATGACAATATAGAATTCAAATGAACATTTCTGGTCTCAAAAAATACTGATTCAACTAAAGATTCAAGTGATAGACAATTAAAAATGTGTTTACATTGGAGTAAACTTTTAAAATGCTTTTTTCTCATGTTCTGCTTTTTCATGTATCTATATGTAAATATGAATGTGTGAGTGTGTGTGTATGTATGTAAATTTTGGGGTTGTGTCTCCAGACTCCTCGAACCACCTGCAGGTCAAAGGTCACACTGTGGTGATGCAAACACGTGGACACACTTTCAACTCTCATCCAGGTCTCTGCCTGATGCTCCACCCATCACGTCTCCAGATACCTCTCTTTCATGGCCCCGGTCTCTCTCACACCCACTCAGCTCTGCAGTGGCGTGGGGAGGGGCAAGGAGGTGGCATTTCCCTTTGCTCTTTGATCTGTGACCTGTGGCTGGGTGGGCTTTGGTGTCCAGTGTCCAGCAGTGACCTCTCGTACAGTGTGTGCCCTTGGTTCTGGAAAACAACCTTATAGTCAAATTAAAAACAACAGAGATTGTGAATGAGATTGTTTTTCTCCCTAAAGTCAAAACAATTTTGGAGCGCTCTGGGTTTTCCCAAGCGCTATGTAAATAAAAGATTACTTATTATCTTACTACTGATGACATTTTTAAAACCAGAAACTCTTTCTTAATAAAAAACAAGACTCAAATCTCTTGAACCTTCAACCTTTAAAATATGTATTATGTACTTTTGCACTGTGTGATTAATTATCTATGAACATTTATCTCATCATTTATTTTACTAATTTAAAATAATTGCAGCATTTTCAAATGAAGTCAGTATGAATTGGAGCACATTTTAGACCAGGCTCCTGTGCTGCGTGCATCTGCAGCAGTAAGGTCAGGCGTGTAGTCAAAACAAAAACAAAAAGTCACCACTTGAATGTGAATTGGGTAGTTTAACTTAATAATACTTTTACAGCCTAATTCCCTCTTTCTTTTTTAGACGAAGTCTATAATCAATAATCACTTTTAACACAGATTCTAATTTAAATGTTTGAAAAACTGCTTTTGTAACTAAAATAAAAAATACATGAAAAAATTCTCACTAACAGCTATGAAATATATCAGAGATGCAATAATGGACTCACAAAATAAGCAGCAGATTTAAAAAGAAAAGCAAAGCTTTAGCACTAATATTTGGGTTTCAAAAAACATATAATATTCAAAACTTATTCACTAATGGTGTTTAAAAATGTTTAACTGTGTCTAACACAATGTTCAATGGCAAATGTCGCAAATTTAACGGAATAACAACTATGAAAAGCCAGAAATCCTAAAGCAGTAGCTTTGCTCTGATTCAGAGCCAGAGCAGCGAAGGAGGGGGCCGTTTCCCTGACAACGGCAGCAGATAGAGCTGCACACAGGCAGAAGGTAGTGTTTTAGCAAAAATGCTAAAACAGAAAGAAGAATAACTTTCAAGATTACTTTGTTAAGCAAATATAACTGATGTTGTTCTTTAAACTTTTGTCATCCAAGTCTAGAAGTGATCACTTTCAACACTAGTAACAAAAGGCACTCTTACTTTAACGTACGCTTCTATTTTATCGAGGTAGCAAACTAGTTTAAACTCAAAATCTCTTTCTAAAAAACAAAACAACTGTTGGATACAACCCTCTCATAGCTCAACTGTAGATAAAACTCGGCAAAAAATGTAAATAACTCACGAAAGCTCTCATAGCTCAACTTTAGATAAAACTCTGCATTCTCCGGTGAACTCTGTTCACGCCAAAAAACAAAACTCCCTTTTTCTGTATGTAATTTAAACCGTTATCACTGAAATATTGTTGATTCTTTACTTTTGTCATTTATCAGCCTGAAATTCGTCAATTTCAAAGCTTTTGTAACAAAGGCCTCTTTAACACATTTCCCTTTTTATTGCTTTTATTATTACACCATGGTTTCACTAAGGATCCTCACTTATGGCCTTTACACTTTATGGATCCTACTCACTTTAATGGCCAACACTTTTCACTTTATGGATCCTATTCACTTTAATGGCCAACACTTTTCACTTTATGGATCCTATTCACTTTAATGGCCAACACTTTTCACTTTATGGATCCTATTCACTTTAATGGCCAACACTTTTCACTTTATGGATCCTATTCACTTTAATGGCCAACACTTTTCACTTTATGGATCCTATTCACTTTAATGGCCAACACTTTTCACTTTATGGATCCTATTCACTTTAATGGCCAACACTTTTCACTTTATGGATCCTATTCACTTTAATGGCCAACACTTTTCACTTTATGGATCCTCACTTTAATGGCCAACACTTTTCACTTTATGGATCCTATACACTTATGGCCTTTTCACTTTATGGCCCTACAGCCTATACACTTATGGCCAACACTTTTCACTTAATACAGCCTCAGTCTTGGATCTACAGCCTCAGTCCTGGATCTACAGCCTCAGTCCTGGATCTACAGCCTCAGTCTTGGATCTACAGCCTCAGTCCTGGATCTACAGCCTCAGTCTTGGATCTACAGCCTCAGTCTTGGATCTACAGCCTCAGTCCTGGATCTACAGTCTGTCCGTCCATGGGAGCAGGTCACTCTCTTACTATGGGTGTCCCTGAGGTTTCTCACTTTTTCCCACTGGGTTTCTGAGTGGTTCCTCTCAATGCAGGAGGGTCTATTGCATTTTCTGTATTAAAACTGTTGTTGTTGGTGAATCCACCACTTTGTAAAGTCTGTTGTTTTTTTAGGGCGATACCGAGATACATTGAATTGAATTATATAAATATATTGTCTGATTGTATTGTATACATTGTTTTTATATATTGTGGAAGGAAGTGTATTTATTAATAATGTAAACAGTTTTTTATTTATATATATTTCTCTGATCTGAAACTGCTGCACAATGACAGTAGATATCCTCCATGTATCCCACAGAGGCCTTGGGGTCCCGTCTGAGCCTGTTGGTCCCTCTCTGGAAGCAGGGGGGGAGCAGGGGGGCGATGGACTGAGGTTATACCCAGGTAACTGTGGGAGGGCACTGGGATCAGCTGTGCGTTCAGCTGTTTCTGATCAGCGACCTCGTACGGACCGTCGTCATAGAAACCCAGGTCCAAAAGGCTCTGGTTCAAGAGCTGGACTCGCATCTCGCCTGCGGGAGTAAAATGTGAGACACGGCAGAAAACAGAGAACAAGGACTGTGGAGGAGAGAGAGAGTTACACCGGGACAAAACACACAACACTCCTGCACAAGGATGGAACAATATTAAAGCTGAGGTACGTAACTTTCAAACCGCAAAAAATTTGACCTATGTAATAAAATCCATCAAAATATTGTCTTACTCTGAAAACTAGTTTTCTCATGCCTGGACTCTCTCCTGTCTCTCTCTGGTCTCCCTCTGGTCTCCCTCTGGTCTCTCTCTGTTCTCTGTCTGTTCTCTCTTTCTTGTCTCACTCTGGTCTCTCTCTAGTCTCTCTCTGGTTTCTCTCTGGTCTCTCTCTGGTCTCTCTCTGGTCTCTCTCTGGTCTCTCTCTGGTCTCTCTCTGGTCTCTCTCTGGTCTCTCTCTGGTCTCTCTCTGGTCTCTCTCTGGTCTCTCTCTGGTCTCTCTCTGGTCTCTCTCTGGTCTCCCTCTGGTCTCTCTCTGGTCTCTCTCTGGTCTCCCTCTGGTCTCTCTCTGGTCTCTCTCTGGTCTCTCTCTGGTCTCTCTCTCTAGTCTCTCTTTGTTCTCTCACTGGTCTCTTTATTGTCTCTCTCTCTTGTCTCTCTCTTTTCTCCCTATGGTCTCTTTTTGTTCTTCCTCTAGTCTCTCTCTGGTGTCTCTCTGGTCTCTCTCTAGTCTCTCTCTGCTCTCTCTCTGCTCTCTCTCTCTCTGTTCTCTCTCTTCATACTACAGTATGTTTGATTTGGAGCAATACTACTACAGTGACAATGGTATATCGTCCCATATGCGTACAGACTGATCTAAAAGCATTTCTCTTTTTCATGTATTTGAAATAAACTTTACTTTTACATCAGATGTTTAAATAATGACATTAAGTCCAGTCTTCAGATCAGTACCTTTCCAGTTGTAGGTGCCGGGCGCTCCGAACAGGATGTAGTTGTTGTCCGGGGTGAAGCTGACGGACATTCCCTGCTGACAGAAGCCAAACTGCTCGTGTCCCTGCGGTCGTCCCTCACAGAACTTCCACTCGCCGCCGTCCAGGTCATCGCGCTCCGTCAGGTCCTCGCTCAGGACGTAGCAGCGGCCGATGGGGTCTCGAGTCTCCGACGGCTGCTTCACGCGCTGCCGCAGCTCGTACAGGTGCGCACACGTCTGAAAGGCACAGAGTTTTAGAGTCTATGGAGGGAAAGCACTGCAAAAAGTGGTAACAAAAAAATAGCAAATAGCTACAATTACAGGAAATGTACTATTATCTGCCAGTGGATCATATTATTTCCACTTATTTTTTGAAATAAGAAAAACATTATTAACAAGTAATATCCACCTAAGTATCTTCAGCCTGCATGAATGAAAACAAACAAAAACGGTGTGATTAGATACATAAATATTTTCACTTCACAGCTCTGGTGTGTACTATCTGGGGTAGTCTTGCACAGTTATTCCACTGTGGTTTCACTGCAAATTTGTATTCTTGTAATTGTATTCTAATGTAGAAAACTACAAAACAAATTAATCTTGAATAAAGGGAATCTGATCTCTTACTCTGGTCAAGGTTCTCGCAGAGATAAAACTTTAGCTAAACTCACTATTTTGCCAAAACTCTTTGCATCTTCCACTAAGAACTAAGTAGTCCTGCAGTACGATGAGCACCAATCTCTAACCTTTTTCACCTTGAGAGCTACTTTTTTGGGTATAAAAGGGCAGAGAACTATCCGTTTAAAAGTACGAATTTGGGCCAATAATGGTTAGATATGGTTCTCTTAGAGTAATTATCTGTCATTGAAGACTATGTTAGCTTGCATTTAGAATATTTTTGAGCAAATGAATTATACTTTTTGTAATATTCCACATATTTATATGATTTCTAAATCACTTTCATCTGATTTCTTAATCACATTTATGTGATTTAGAAATCCTTTGGGGAGCTACTTGGCCTTCAAAAATGTGTCCGTCTATTTTATACGATAGACTGTATTAAAAAAGTTTACTTGCAAGGGGGTGGCAAGCTACTGGTATCTCCCAAGCTATAGGTTAGAGACCCCTGCTGTACATGTGTTATCAGTGCTGTTGTTGGGGGGCAGTGCTAGGAAGAGGGACAGTGCGGGGCTAAACCGACTCATTAGGAAAGCTGGTTCTGGGTTTGGACTGGGCCTGGATTCAGAAGAGAAGGTGGTGGAGCAGAGAATGCTCTCCAAGATCACAGCAATTCTGTCCAATCAGAGTCTTCCCTTTAACTCGGTCTGCTCCCGCCAGAGAAGCGCCGTAAGCTCCAGACTCTTCTTTCTAAGACGCTCCAAGGACAGACTTAAGAACTCTTTTGTCCCTTATGCCAACAGGTTTTATAACAAAGCCACTTCAGGGAGGAGCAGAGGGGGAGGAGAGACGGAAATGTCTTGAACATTGTCTTGCAGTGCCGACTTCTCTTACTGTATACTGGATGTGTTTATTGCAATTTGTATGTTTTTTGTTTGTTTCGTTTTTATGTCTTAATTTTCCTGCTGTGTTTGTGCGAAAGGGACTAATGCACCATTTCCATTGGGATCAATACAGTTTTTATCTATCTATCAAGAGCAGTGGTCTCCATTGCATTTCTAATGTAACGAAACATGTTTTCATTATGTTCACTAATGTAGAGCTTTACAGTAATATGATGCATCCCTGTCATTTCTGTTAAAGTCTCTAATAGCTTTAATAGCTCTCAGATTGTGTGGTTCTACAGAGCTTGTACCAGATATCCCACTCCCTAGGGATCAACGGCTCCTTCAGTTTGTGTTGGTTATTGTTGCGCTGCTGTTGTGATGCTGCTTACCACGACTTTTCCTCCGATGCCTTGACTTTTGACAGTAACTCCCAGCCATTGGTTGTCTTTGCTTTCTTTGTTCAAATGCACTAGAGACAGGAAGAATCATGGTCTATGAACAAGGAAATACAACCAGTAATCACAGAACAAGTATGAAGTAAGAAGCGACAAACTCATCTACAAACAGACCAGTAAATTCCTCTACTGACAGAGCAATAACAAGCCTCTGAGGAGCACAGGGACTGGCCTCCTGGTAGTCCCAGAGTCAGGACTAAACATGGGGAGGCAACTTCCTAAAAATGTGAGACAGGCTTCTACTCTGACAATGTCAGGTTACTAACTGTTCTGTTTCGCTGCAACAATTCTATCTTCACTCTTGTTAATGCACTGTAATTACTTACAATTATAATGTTTATTTTCTTGTTTTGTTAAGCACTTGCCTTGTGTATCGACTGTGCTATACAAAAAAACTTAACCAGGTTCAAACTGAACTCATCTACAACAAACAGAGTTCTACAACGGTACCGTCTCCATCGATGTCGACGCGCTCGCAGTCGTATTCTTCTGGACTCACGGGACATTTGAACAGAGCTCCGGGTCTGGTTCCCAACAGCGCCCCCTGTCCTGCAGCCTGAGGAGCTCCCACCAGGATCCTGAGAGAAGAGACCAGTAAACACATTGAGAGAGGAGGCGGTACCAGTAAGAACACACTGAGAGAGGAGGCGGTACCAGTAAGAACACACTGAGAGAGGAGACGGTACCAGTAAACACACTGAGAGAGGAGACAGTACCAGTAAGAACACACTGAGAGAGGAGACGGTACCAGTAAACACACTGAGAGAGGAGACGGTACCAGTAAACACACTGAGAGAGGAGACAGTACCAGTAAGAACACACTGAGAGAGGAGACAGTACCAGAAAACACACTGAGAGAGGAGACAGTACCAGTAAGAACCCACTGAGAGAGGAGACAGTACCAGTAAACACACTGAGAGAGGAGACAGTACCAGTAAGAACACACTGAGAGAGGAGACAGTACCAGAAAACACACTGAGAGAGGAGACAGTACCAGTAAGAACACACTGAGAGAGGAGACAGTACCAGTAAGAACCCACTGAGAGAGGAGACAGTACCAGTAAACACACTGAGAGAGGAGACAGTACCAGTAAGAACACACTGAGAGAGGAGACAGTACCAGAAAACACACTGAGAGAGGAGACAGTACCAGTAAGAACACACTGAGAGAGGAGACAGTACCAGAAAACACACTGAGAGAGGAGACAGTACCAGTAAGAACCCACTGAGAGAGGAGACAGTACCAGAAAACACACTGAGAGAGGAGACAGTACCAGTAAGAACACACAGAGAGGAGACGGTACCAGTAAACACACTAAAGAGGAGACAGTACCAGAAAACACACTGCGAGAGGAGACGGTACCAGAAAACACTCTGAGAGAGGAGACGGTACCAGTAAACACACTGAGAGAGGAGACAGTACCAGTAAGAACTCACTGAGAGAGGAGACAGTACCAGTAAGAACACACTGAAAGAGGAGACAGTACCAGAAAACACACTGAGAGAGGAGACAGTACCAGTAAACTCCAAGCCCAATGATCGGCCCATTCGGATCAGTGGTCTGTGCTCATTGGCTCATGTTCGCACCATCCCAAAAATTAGCAGAAGTAAGACGTTCTGGCCAGTTCTGGTCTTCTCTCTCTGGTTTCTCTCATTCTCAAGTCTCTCTCTCTGGTTTCTCTCTGGTCTCTCTCTCTCTCATTCTCAAGTCTCTCTCTCTGATTTCCCTCTGGTCTCTCTCATTCTCAAATCTCTCTCTCTGGTCTCGCTGGTCTCTCTGGTCTCGCTCTCTCTGGTCTCGCTCTCGTCTCTCTCTGTTCTCGCTCTTGTCTCTCTCTCTCTCTCTGGTCTCTCTCTCTGTTCTCGCTCTCGTCTCTCTCTCTCTTTCTCTGGTCTCTCTAGCCCTAGTTCTCCCAGCCTTGTGCAGTGATTCTACTTCCACAGGACCAGAGAAACACATTTCTGACCGATCACAGCATTCAAACTCAACACATTATACTAACACTCCAACAGATGAGTAGATGCCAGTTTAGTCAGAAATTCTATCTCAAATACATAAAAGGTGGAGCTTCGGAACAAGAAATAGACTCAAAACAGCCATATACATGAACACAGTAGGAGACGGTAGATCCAGGACTGAGGCTGTGGATCCAGGACACTAAAGGCTTCCTTTGTCCTATTAAAATCACTTGAGGGAGTTCCCACACAGCCCAAGTCACCTCTTTTGGAGCCTCGGTCTCTTTTGGCTTCGCTCCTCGTTCTGTTGCTATAATATTGTGCTTAGCGTCTTGGAAAAGGGACGATTTCATTCCCAAAGAGGTGTAGGTGATATTTTGGGTTTGGGAGTCACTGGGCCTCTGCCTTATTAGGACACTCCTACTCAGACACGCTATTTAAAAACTCCCAGCATTCCTTTCAACACTGACAGTCAGACAGAGGAAGCCAGGAAAACAATGGCATTAGAGTCGTATACATCAAAAATAAGGTTAGAGGCCCCAGTATTATGTCAAATATAAGGTACAGTAAGAAGTCCAAGTATATGTCAAATAAAAAAATAAACAAAATAAACAAAACAAAAAGTTTAGATGCCCCTGTATATGTAAAAAATAAGGTTAGAGGCAAAATTCTCAAAAATATCTTTACCCAGAACAGAATATCTTCACTCTTAATTTTGTTGATGATTTATGCCTAATAAATGCCTTGTGTGATTTCCTTGTTTCTTGTATATGAACTGTGCAACTGTGCCATACAAGAAAAATTGCCCCGCCTTGCCTAAGATTAGGTCAGGGTAATGCAAGGTTGTGTCCAAAGTTCCCATGATGCACCCCTCTCCTCATACTGTGTTGTTAGTCTTAAATTAGCCATGTCTGCGGCAGGGGAAGTAGGCAGCAGCTGATAATGGTTTGAACTAATATTGCGATTAGATTCTGTGAAATATTACGATTCATGTGCCTCATATTATTCAAAGGCAATAAAGTTAAGAGCAAAAACTAAAGAGGCAAGTGCAAAAAGCTTTATCCTTAAACACTGAGGACACAGGACCTTATTTCAGAACAAGACATCATTATTCTCTGAACAGGCGTTCAGAGATGAATGGTGAGCTCCCAGCACATACATTACATTATTCAAATACAATAGACTAGAGTAACAAAAAGCAGACATAATAGAGTAACATAAACCTCAGATGTAAATTACCAGAGTAAACTCTGATAAAAAAACACAAGTGTCAATTCAGATAAATATTTAATTGAACATGGCAATACTTTATTCTACTGTATTGATTTAACTGCGTGTACAAACTATATAAATGTAACCTCAGAGAGACGTTTATATAATCACAGGTCTCTCTTCACCTCTACCCCACACAGGACAGTCCTCTCTCCTGTCATTCAGCTGAAGTCGTTAGCAGACACACACACACACAGAGACACACACACACACACACACACACACACACAAACACACACACACACACACACACACACACACACACACACAGACAGATGACTGTGGGGGGTCTGAAGGTGTTTGAGGTCATTTTAGATGGAGGTTTAAACTGATTTCATGAAATGACTTTGAACAATTAAACACATTAGAGCAGCAAGAAATGTTTGCAACTCACAGTTTAAGAGTAAGTTCAATTACATTTTAAAATTCATAAGACTGAGGCTATAGATCCAGGACTGTAGACCTGGGACTGAGGCTGTAAATCCAGGACTGAGGTTGAGATCCAGTACAAAGGCTGCAGATCCAGGACTGAGGCTGTAGACCCAGGACTGAAGCTGTCCTGGATGAATGCCTCTGATTTTCCCCCTGTGTTTGGGAACCATTTCAAGACAAGTCAACACCATCTTGTCTCCCTCTTAATCTCGTTTAGGGCCTGTATGAAGCTTATCTAATCGTTATTGCTATGTCCTCCTGCAAATCTCTCTTCCTCTGATGGTATCGTCCCCTGGGGTCGGAAACAGCCCTCATCCCACTGACACCTACTCCTCTCTCTCTGCGGTGGGACAGAGCACAGCTGCACTCCTCTGTCCTGGATTGTGAGTCAGTGGTACACACTCATGAGATCATAACGCCAGTATAACTCAGTGACAGATGGACCATGAGTCACTGACGGATACCTGCACCTGTTTGTGAGGTGTAACAGCTCTGTGTGAGAGACACTGCTCTGTGTGAGAGACACTGCTCTGTGTGAGAGACACTGCTCTGTGTGAGAGATACTGCTCTGTGTGAGAGGTGCAGCTCTGTGTATGGCTGGATATATTTTTATTTATGCTCTTTTATAATGCGACAGCTACTTCTTGTACTACCTTGTTAACTAGCCTCATTCCCACAGTATAACATTTTAATTATAATAACTGGATAGGGTATTACTAGCATGGAGCTGAAGGACCCATGTGCTCGGGGGATTCTCGCGGTACTGCAGACTAAACCAGACTAAATTCATGTGGGCCACCCATACATTTTCCCCATAGAACTCAATAATAATAATAAAACAGGTCGTTCTCAGCTGACAGAGAACATACAGATTTCATAAAGGTCGGATTTTGTGGGGATTTTTAGTGTCCCTTGTCATCCTTGTTTTTCTTTTTAAATCCTTCAGTTTTCTTTAAATCCACACTAGTGCCACAAACTCTGCTCCTCTGGCTCTCACTCTAACTCCCGCTCTACCGCTGCTCTGATCCGCAGCTCTGATTGGTCAAAGCGCGGCCGAGCCCCTCTGTGCACGTGCAGGAGAGCCACACATGCGTATTTTGCGCAATGCATTATGGGAGATCGTCCACTGCACAGAACTGGACGATGCCCAAATACAGGAGAGTTCCGCTAATCTTTCGGCGCCCATGCCGGCACAAGCGCCACTGAGCACAAACCATTCATTTGAATAGGGCGCCATTTTGGATCGTCGGGGCTTGCATTTAACCCGCCGTAAAATTACACACAAGTCACAATAGAGGCAATACTCTCCTCAGCCTCACAGCTTTAGTCCTGGATCTACAGCTTTAGTCCTGGATCTACAGCTTCAGTCCTGGATCTACAGCTTCAGTCCTGGATCTACAGCTTTAGTCCTGGATCTACAGCTTGAGGCCTGGATCTACAGCTTCAGTCCTGGATCTACAGCTTCAGTCCTGGATCTACAGCTTGAGGCCTGGATCTACAGCTTCAGTCCTGGATCTACAGCTTGAGGCCTGGATCTACAGCTTGAGGCCTGGATCTACAGCTTCAGTCCTGGATCTACAGCCTCAGTCCTGGATCTACAGCTTGAGGCCTGGATCTACAGCTTGAGGCCTGGATCTACAGCCTCAGTCCTGGATCTACAGCCTCAGTCCTGGATCTACAGCCTCAGTCCTGGATCTACAGCTTGAGGCCTGGATCTACAGCTTCAGTCCTGGATCTACAGCCTGTCTGTCAAGTGGGAGCAGATCCTTCTCTCAATATGGGCCTCGTTGAAGTTATGCTTCTCACTGTTTTTTATTTTTTTAGGGGTCCCTTTTTAATGCAGGATGGTCTAAGGACACTGATGATCCACAAAATGTCTGCACTTTTGTCTGGACAGTAGACGTCCCGCTGCTTATGG